TTTTTATTTGTACTATTTGTCCATTTTTTCCTTTAATTTTCTCATTAACATTTTAGGATCTTTTGTATATTCAACACTTTTCTCCCAGACTACTTTCTTTTGACTGAATAACATAACTTTTTTAAAATAATAAACATTTTTATATATTTAGTATTATTTTATTAATTTTGATTTCTTGCCTTATGATCTCCCTAGTTAGCTAAACCTTAAAATCCTTTCTTATTTTAATTTTTTAATTGTAGCTTGATGTAGGTATATTATAAAGAGTTTGAAAAACAAGGGGAGGAGAAATCAAAGTTACCATATTACCCAATCACGTTTAGCATGTCTGAGTAATTTTTTCTAGAACTTTTTTCTTATCAATATTATTAAAGTCAAGTTTAATCCTAGTTGAAACATCAGATTTGAATATAATCAATAGCATACTGATGTGATATGCAACATCAGAAGCTAATTTGTTTGTCTATATGACACCAGATTTGCCTCCTAAGAAGTAGCAAATGTCAACTAGTCTTTATGGGTTTTATCTCTTTTTGTGTGTGTATTTTAACTTTAAATTGAAACTTGAATGAGATGGACATCATTACCCTAAGTACATGTATGAAGACATGAATGGTGTAAATATACTTTGCATACAACCAGAGATATGAAAAATTTTGTTCTATTTGTGTAATATGAACTGTAATGCATTCTGTTGTCATATATAACAAATTAGAATAAAAAGTAAAAGAAAAAAATCTATAAAAAGAAAAAAAATTGAAATTTGGCAAATATTAAACCAAAATACACATTGAATATAGACATTTGAGAGTGTGCACAACCATGTAGAACTTAAAGATGTAGAATTTAAAAGATTTTTATTCATAGTTTTTATTGCCTCAACAAATTCTATATATTAGGCTTTGAAATATCTTAGGTGCATGTATTATGTCTCACTGTTACAGAACCTGAACCAGGCCCTAATAATATTCTGATTTTCAAATATTTTAGATGGGGTTCACCTTCCCTTTATAGGAAAAAATATGTACCAGATGTAATATTATATATCATGTTATTACCAAACAATATATCACCAAAATTTATAAATCATGATGGAGTGAGATACTATACTGAGTTGTGGACAGATTGTGGTTCCAACATGAGTAGGACATTCTTTTCAAAATAAGATTGATTATAGGGTTCTCATTTGGTTAATTTTTATTCACTGTCTTTAATCTTTCTCCTACCAGGTATCTGGCTTGGAATTCTTGAAGGAATTGGCATATTGGCTGTGATCACCAATGCATTTGTAATTGCTATTACATCTGACTACATCCCACGTTTTGTCTATGAATACAAATATGGCCCCTGTGCAAATCATGTAG